TTTTCTTGATGGAAATCCCGTGTGGTTTGTTTGATCGAATCTAGTTATTATTAATAATATTGTGTGTGTGTGTGTGTGGGGGGGGGGGGGGGGGGGGGGGNTATGTCGTTTGTGCTGAGGGTTCATAATCATCGAACTATACTACCTAATATTAAGCTGTTTTATCCATAAACGTTTGAAGGAAGAAAAGACTTGCTGTATCCCACAGCATGATGGCACGTACCAGTCATCACGAACGTTAATCCAGACACAATTATTACGAGATTAGAGAGAGAGAGAGCTGACTGATCAGGTAATCTACTGTCTTTCACAGCACAATCTAAGTTGTTTTTACTGATCGGCACTGTATGACGTTAGTGTGCTGATGGGTCTTAAATGATGCATAAAATAAAATCTTCATATATCCAATCTATGTACGCTACTGTTATTCGTGTGATTATATGGCACATCAGCAGCACGAAGGGAATGAAATAACAGACCAGCATTTTGGGAGGAGAAAAGCAACATCTACGGGAAGGCAATTACATCAGCAGTTAGCGGTCGATACAATGCTTCATAATTGCTGTCATTTCTACCTAATCGCTGTATGATCTGCAAAAAATGAGCTCATTATCTCTATCCTCCAGCTAGTAAAGCCAGACATAAAATTAATTATCTAAATGCAATCGTGACAATTAGGACTTCAGGTGTTCATAACAATATCCTGTTTAACTCGGCAATGCATTGGCGTGTAAATGGTAACACGATAGCGTATTAAGTGCAATTGCAAACGATTAATGCATTTTTTTTTAAAATCTCGTACAATTTTACGTTGTAATGGCTTTTTTTAGACTAGTTACTGAGTTTTACTTCTCTCATCACGTGATATTTACCTCCGAAATTCCAATGGATTAATTGTCTTTACCCTACATAAATGGCCTAGTGTTTACGTACCTACCCTCGTGAGCCAAAATCTACATATACTTGTAACACACATACCATCTAGAACTCTGTCGACACAGTACTTGTTTGTATGATGCATGTTTTATACTTTGGGTCAAATACCAGGCAGTATATTAAGTATTAATAATCAAAAACATCATTTTAGATTTATAAATATATGCAACCATACATCCCTTTTTAAAATTAAGTATATTATGTTATTGATAGGTATGGTAAAGATGAGCCTTTTCTTTAGGAAACAAACATACAGATTGTAACAATCAATTTCATCTTGGAACTTAAATGGATATTGTATGTTTACTAAGGAATTTGTTATTGGGTCTATGCTTCACAATTTCATCATTGAATTTGAGTTTTAAAGATATGTATAAACAATGGGTTAACATAAAGGTCATCAATTAAACAAGAATGTTCATTCTATTAACAGGCTGCAGCTTTGAAACCTGACTATTTGCTAACCCCCCTCCCCCTTACCTTTTACGGAGTATCTAGTTGACAAAACAAGACAGGTATGCCTACATTTACAATAATGTAGGTTTAATAATTAATAAAGGTTTGCCTATCAATTTATATCTAAAAGAGATGTGAGGCATGTAGGTATATTCCGATTAAACAAGATTGTCTTCCTTCAATAACATTTCCATACATTATTTCAGATTCAATTGAACTAAATGGAAAGTACTAAGCTTTAATGGAATCATAGGTTGGCAAGCAGACAGTTGGAGCACTAAATTTCTACCCATCTCTCAAAATTATTCATTGTTTCAAATGATCCAGATTTCTGCAATTCAAATTCAAAATAGCAAAAATAAAGTTCACATTCACATTACTTTTACAGATTAAACTAAAAGTAAGAAGAGGGTTGAGGAGAGGCAGTGGAGGATTACTGCATCTAGTTTTGTGGAAGTCACACATGCTACCTGTCGAAGAAATATCGGGGAACTTTGTGAGAGTCTTGTTTCATCTAGGACTCTTAACACAAAAGCCATGCAGCATGGCAAAAAGTATGAAAAGAAGGCTTTTAATAAATTTGAACTAACATTGATGTTACAAGTAAAGAGGGAGGCATCCAAAGTACACCTAAAGTACACCCACAGTATCCATATATTGGGGCTTCGACCGATGGAATAATCGATGAAAAGACTATACTTGAAACAAAATGTCCATTTTTTAGTTTGATTTGGTTTGGATTAGTATTGATTAACGTCCTATCAACAGCTATGGTCATTTAAGGACGGCCTCCCATGTGTGCAAGATACATGCTTGAGTGTATGCGTGTGTCTTTTGGGAGGCTGCGATATGTTCGTGTTTGTCTCTTTGTGATAGCGCGGAACTGATGCCGACTTTATAGTGCTACCTCACTGAAACATACTGCCGAAGACACCCAGCAGGACACCCCATTCGGTCACATTATACTGACAACAAGCGAACCAGTCGTTCCTCTCCTAAATTGCTGAGCGTTAAGCAGGAGTATAAACTACCATTTCTACAGACTCTTTTATGTCTCGGACAGGGGACATAACCCTAAGCGTTCATCACAGGGGCAAACGCTCAACTAAGGCCAAAAGTGAGGCATTGTCAAGGGTGACATTAGGAAGAAAGTTGTTAAGAAAGAAGAGAAAAGATAAAGTCCAAAAATTAGTTGCCTCCTACGATCATGCAATGGGGACAGCAGGTATAATTCTTACGCCCTACCTGCAGGGACTCCATTTGTAGGTCGCACACCATTTATCCATTTGTTATTCTGCAGGGACTCCATTTATCACACCAGGCAAGATGTTCCCATTTCTTATATATGATGAAAAACATGCAGGGACAAAAGCTGCTTTCAAAAGGGAAATATTGCTACTTTGTTGCATATACTTTGGTAGAACTGCTTGTCCAAAAGATAGATTTGACACAGAGTACTGTGAATTCAGTCTGTTACCCAACTAAACCTACTGTATGTGAAACAATTAAGGTCCTACTTTGCTTCTCGTGTAAAAAGGTCAAGGTCAATATCTTTGTTACTTTCTATAGCTTTTGTATTCTCATGGTTGCCATATTTGCAGTAATAAGCACGAAGGGCACTCTTAATTGGCTGAAAGGGGGTGCTTATTAGGGTAATAAGACAAGACATTTACCAGAAAAAGGTTGCTTATACCATATATATATAATCATGATCAATAGAAAAACTGTGACAAGGCAGCATTTAAGTCCCTTGTTGTTTAAAGACTTATTTGCGAGCATCAAATCCATAATCTATGAAAGATAAGACAAAAGTACATTTTTTACATATTGCTAAAAGTGATCTGGTTTTGGAGGCACACATTAAATTCCAAGCAAACATTATAGAATGAAATATGAATGGATCAGAGACATTGGGCTGATTTTTGGAGATTGTAGTACATGTTCTTTATTTCAGCATTGAACTGTTACCAGATGCAGTATACAGTCGATATGCATGCAATTTGGGTGACAGGTAAATAGAATGTGCATTCATTTCGACTGTATACTGCATCTGGTAACAGTTCAATGCTTATATTTACATTTACATGTATATAGTTTGTTTTGTATGGTAACTTAAGCAAAAATACGTTTGAATTTCCCGCTTAGCATATCAGTGACGTCAGTAAGTTCAAATCCCAGAACAGCCGACATTTCCAGAAGAAATAATATAGTCCCTCGTGTCATTGAAAACCACACGCACATAAAATGGTTTGAACATAAAGTTAACTTTATTATTTGTTTCATATGAGTGTGTATATGTTGAAAAATTGTTAATAATTGCATATTTTCTGCTTGTTTAAAATTAAAGCTGTTTTTCGCGTATTGATAGATTACATGTAGTTTGAAGTGATGCGGCGCTGAACGTTCTTGATTGTTTCCTCGGAAACGCTTATATTTCCTTCGACTGGAATATTACGTTATTTTCAGAAGCATATATACTCGGAAATGTTTGATTAAAGTGCTCCTTTCAGTAGGTGATAACGATTCCAAGGACATTTCGTTTGAAACAGATTCCATGTCTAGTCGGTCAGATTAGCATCGCTAGCAGACGACGTTCACAGGGGCTCGGTTTCGTGATTTTGAGTAATGGTTGACATCACTGAAAAACCACAACACTTAAAAAGGTATTTATACACATTTTAAAACCTTGTCGATACCCTCGACTTTTACAAGGTTTTAAAAATACTGAATTTCAGTGTTGTGGTTATTCACTGATGTTATGCATAACTCAAAATCTCGAAACCGATCCCCTTTGTGATGACGTTGACAAACTTGGTAATTTCGTATCTAGAATGACGCTTACAATAAATTTGTGGTACCTACACATCTTATAATAAATCTACATTGTCATAATTTGTCAAGTTGCTTTATTGTTTTGCTATGACCTACATTGCTAAATGCTAACGAACCCAGAGTATTTTCCGACTATAAGCCTATTGATACCGAAAGTATTGGGCGGCCATGTTTGATTACCATGTACCAGCTGTATTCCTACACTGGCCGTATCACTGTAAATTGTAGTATACATCTAAAAGGTCCGCCTTTTTATTTATCTGGCGGTCACTAGCTGAACCCAAAAAATATTGATCTATGTAGTAAACGGTACTACGAGGGGTACAGCCAATCATGGTTTTAACAGTGATACTATGCTTGTAACTTGACCAAGTCGAACCTTGGGCCTGCGAATGGGTAGTCGTCTGAACAGGAACCCCAGTAGCATCAAGGATAACCCTAGTGGTTTTGATTTTTCCCCAAAATCCCCCGGCTTATATTCTGCTACAGTATCCCGGGTAGGCCACATTGATAGCTCTTTACTTTTTTGTTATCAAAGTGATGATTACGTTCGAAACAGTTGTCTCACTTACATGGAACAGCTCGAAACATCAGAGTCTTGACGAAGCTTTCTGCTGCAAAAGCAGTACATTGTAAAATTTAGCTCTCTTGATGCTGGACCAGGTCAATTAAACCCAAAGGTGAAGTGGTTAAAATCTGAAAATCCAGTCCAGTACTGGACTGCTTTAGCATTGTTTTCAACATTCACCAATGTAACATTGAGTCACTGTACTGACTGCTGTGATGGAACTATCCTCTTCCGTTTGCAGCATTTCAGCAATACTGCCTGGTGGCAGCTCCACTTCCTGCTGCACATCACCAACAAAGATGTCCAGAATGGTTCTAACATCTTGGGAGTTGCAGCCTTCAACCCTCTTTTGTTGTCTCTAATCTCTTGGGCTGGCTGATATTTGTGCAGCCCTGAAAGTGAATATTGAAGGCACAACTCCATCCTTATCCATAAGGCGCCCTCGTTCCCTGAAATGGTATCGGTATATAACATCAGTGTAACATTAATCAAAATAAGAACACAACTCTTGTTATCACTATTTAAAAAAAGTACTGTACAGATTTTTATCAAATTTCATACACATGGTCCTTTGGTCATTGGTTGTGGGCTGATTGAGGGGGAAACAATAGCCACCAGACAGGCATCTTGAATTTTGACATTTTCATTGTTTTTTTAATATTGGTACAGTATATATTTGGTTATAGTTAAGTGTATCAAACAAAAGTGTTCCTTATCATAAATTGATGTCCATCCAAAAGTTGATTTTGAAGTCTTATTTTTATCCATGTTTGAAATTGAAAATTAACCTACCTCCTTCCTATTCTTTTTCGTATGTGTCATTTTGTCAATGTCTTCGAAAAATAAATGAAATGAAAACCGCAAAGCAACACGAACAAATGTAACAATCAATTCTCATAAAATAGAAACTAATGATTCATGTCCCACTCCGGCAGGCAAATTACTACAGAATTCTACTGTATTTAGATATATATAACAGTAGCGTGGCTGACAGGTAAACAGGTAACTCAGTAGGTTAAGTATACCGATCTGTGGTCTGGAGCTGAAATCATGGGCACATATTTATGAAGCCATTCTCCAAGTCTTGCTCAAACTCCGATTTTGTGATTATGAAAACTCTTAGAGAGACTGATCACTTCAAACAAAAAACCCTTCAAACCAAAAGTCCTTATTCCTGAAATAACAACAATGTTGGTTTGAGAACATGATTAAGCTAATACACATACCAGAAACATAAATTTCCTGTTTTTGCATAGTTCTAGTTTTTAGCAGTGCTACAGGGATCCTTTAATGATAATAAGTGTTAAGGGCTTTCAATTGAACTGTTGCATTTTCATTTTCAAGAGTAAAATAAAATTTCCTTTAATTTTGGGAGTCAAAGCATACTCTCAAATATTGGTTTAGCGTCAACTGAAACACATGTTAATCTGGCTCATACTTCCTCTAATTGTACAGCAAAACATATTTAGCTTCCATAGTTTTTTAGGTATTGATAGTTATAAATTTAAGTACACTGTACATGTGAAACCATTGAGCATTTTTTCCGAGGTAATTTCATTTTTATTTATTTTTTATTTTTTTAAGGTTTCAGTAATTGTTATTTTTAAAAGCAACAAAATTGCTATTCGGTATTTTGCAAAGAATCTGCATGATGCGTATCACTTTTAAGTGTGACCGCCTTAGTTATCATATCAAATTATTAGTGGCCTCAGCATGTGTCCTGCCCCTTTCGAAGATATTTGTATGTTCCTATGCCAATGTTCCATTTTCTGCCCCTCAAACTTGTATGAACTGTATTACAATAGCAATGCCATTTCAATTAACCTTTGTTGTTGACTAAGGTACACATAATTAATTGTTTGTTATTATGATGTTCATATTAATTGCCGGAGAGGAGCCGGTGTGCATGCGCAAGAATTTGTTTATTTCCGGCTTCCTCTCACGAGGGTAGGTAGGTCATTTCGGTAGTAGTCAGAGCATTACTCATTATGTATTTTGGAGGTATCACATGATTTCGCTCGTAAAATCTAGATTAACGAGGGAAATCTCATTTGTTTATCGGTATTCTCTATTGATGAATTTTTTATAGAACCGCTCTCTTGTTTCTGCTCTAAAACAATATTGTACACTTAATAATGTTTAAACCATTCTACGGAGTCATGAATGCTTTGAGATTTTAGATAAAGTGCAACAGGTTATCGAATGTATTATAGGATAGTCAGAATATATATATATATAAGCATTAGTGACCATCAATTGTTGAATTACTTATGGTCAAACAACGACAGAAACCATGGTATATCTATGCTGTGAGCATGATCAACCCACCCCAGTATTTTGACTTTAAACCTTTAACTTTAAAATGTTGTTTAAGTGTCAAATGCATGTATAGCGATATCAAAGAGTAAAGTCGTATCAGATCAATTTCAAATTATTCGCATACTCGTTACGGTGTGAATACTTTTGGAAATTATTTCATTATATATTCATGTATAGGTACCTGAAATGAAAGTAGGTGTCGATTTGGGGAGTACCCAAGCCCTTTTCTTCTTATTAGTTTATGATTCAGTTGCTGTTACACTTGGACGTTTAAACACTCGATAAATATGGATCTTTACTTTGCAAACACTATTTAAGACAGCACAGCTATGATTCTTTCGTTTGTTTTCTTAGGTAGTGCGTACTCGCGACAGATATAATCTATGAAGACGGTGTATACCGATGATCACTTGCCTCTAAAAAGCGCCATCTCACTTAAATGCAATAACCTTGTAGTTTGGCACTCCACCAACCGATTACATTATACCAACAATTAACTGACATGTCATTACCGACACCAATTAACAGCTGAACGAATCAGAGAGCAGTGAGTACCATTTACATGAAATTGGTTTTCTCTCGGTCAGGGTGCAATACCAATCACCTCCCTCACTTAAACATGGAAGTGTGTTACTGCACCCGGTCACATTATTCTGAGGGTGGGCTAATCACTAAAAATTGTGCCTACTCTGAAGTTGTTATTGTTGACAATGACCTTTCAATTTGACAGATTAAGTTCATGTTTGTTCCTTTAAAAGTGCACCAGGGCAAACATTAAGCAATATAGAATGTAACAAAGTCCCGTTCTGGAAACAGACATTATGTCTCCCGATATATGATATTAGTTATGCCTTATGTCTTAGTCCGTCTCTGACACGACGAATAACAAAGTGTGAAACGTAATTAACCGTCCTCGGAACGCCTATAATGGGAATTACAATGCGAGTTCAACTCATTATTGAATGTAAAAAACACTTATAAATCACTACGTATTTTACGATAGATTTTCAATGTTTCTCGGGAGAAAAATACAAATACTCGAGGGATGTCTAACATTTTAAGTAGCGCCATCAAAAACATGTCAATTCCCAAAACTGAATGACTGTGTCAAATTGACATTAACGGTTTGAACGCTTTACAATCGTGCGGAAACTTTAGGGAAAAGAGGACGCCAATTATGTCAACATTTTCCTTAAGGCAAAGGGTAGTGAGGCCAAGGACATGATAAAGTAGTTGATGTAACATAAGATACATAGTAGGCAAAAAACGACCCAGTTTGATATTACGAGGCAGCTTTTAAATAAACATACATGGTTAATGCCGTCTGCTGTCTTCGCCCTCGAAAACAATTTCCTTAATGCCCGTTAAGACCGGCTGATTTGGAGATCGATTGTTAGTTAGAAGAAGACACATTTTGTTTTGTTCCTTTCAAAGCCCTTGCAACAGTTAAGGTCAATGAAGACAGTTTCCACCAAAGATGGGAGCGCTCAATATTTACGTTAACGCTCCATCTCGAAGACATGTCTTAGCGCTGACACGATGTTATGACACCCAACCTGGTCACAGTATAATGACACTGAGGTATTATGTCTTACCGACACCATTTACAGCCGAATGTCAAGTGAATTATTTTTTTTGCCAATGTCTACGACTGGTTTATCTCGATCGGCGGACAAACCAAATAACTAACTTGGTAAACTTTTGACACCAAGACCATAAGCTGGTGTTTTCCAAATGAGGTGTTGAGAAGCAAAAACAGTTTATATTTGTTAGACTGACATTTATGTCTCCCCTGTCTTCTATGTAATGAGTGAAATACAGTATTATTAATGCTTCGACATTCTAAAACAAAATCGTCAATTATATAATGATATATTCTAAATACTTTTGTGAAAGCAATTGTGCAATGTAAAATTGGAAACATCTATTTGTACTTCTACATTTTTATTTAATTAAGACTAATTATCAACATAAAATAGATAAAAATATAATCTGCATTTCCGTGGTGGTGTTACTTATTTAGTAATGATATATCATAAAATACGAGTGTGATAAAAGCGTGTATTTAAACTCTGCAGTGAAGACATTTGTACGAAATGTTACATCGTCACACGTGATTTATCAGTTCCACTATCAATTTTATATTGACCACTCAAAACAGTATTACCTATTTACAGCCGCTGAGTTTCTTAATCTTACAATGAAGTTTATACATCTCTGACAGCAACATGTGTCGCAAAAGAATATAAAGATATAACTTAACACTATTGTATAGCACTGAAAATCAAACTAGATGTATTTGTTCCTAACAAATGACTCTTGGTGACTAAGTAAGTATTATTTGTAATCTTTTACTATGTATTATTTGTCTTTTTATTTGTATTTAAATACCTGGTGAATAAATTAGCAAGTGAGACTGGACTACGCATATTTGTATGTACCGAGATATACTAATGTTTTCCAACTTGAAAAATTAAAACAATTTATTAATATATAAAAAAAGAAATCCTGCTTTAGCAGCATGTTTAAATAAAAGCTGTTGTAATCGTGTAATTTGTAAAGTTTCTTTTTGTTGGAACAAAGTTTGAAATTGGTAGTGCACAAATTATAAGGCCAATATTTGCTTTAGGTCCACAAAATCTTGTTAAGCTTTAAGAAACAAATGTGGAATAATAGAGGGTTTCCTACCGAGGAAGACTCAAACTATGGTTGGAAAATTTTATGGTTAACGTGAATGACTTTTTTTCATCATTGATACAATTACCACTGTATCAACAGCCATGATAGCATTGCCTCCCATTAAATATGATCTAGATTTCTTTCATACCGAGGGTATGGCTTTTTGTCCCTCTTACGTGTGACAAATATAACATTTTCGTGACATAATATCAGTCGACAGAGACTAACGTCATGTCAAGAGGATAGTTATTGTTACAGGCAGTATCAGAATCAATTATCCCCTAAGGTAAAGATATGTCAGGGGAAATATGAACAATGATATGAGAATCTTGGATGTCTAACAACTATCAAGAATATCGCCCCTTGAGAATTCTCTGCCATACCCGCATGTTGGGGAAGGCTATTGTTGTCTTAGATTGTCAGTCAGATGTCAGGATGACATGAGTCACATGGGTGATGGAGGACACCCCGCCATGATACATTATTTTCATTGTTCGTTAATGTTTATTATATCATCATCAGATGATAGGCTATTTACAACAGTTCTCATTAGCGCTTTTTCTCATACGGTACAAGATGGATCTTTCACAAATTTTACATGAAGGTTCCCCATGTCCCTAGTTATGCATATTGTATTTGAGGACTGATAGGAACACCAAAATGGCCAACATGCGACCATCTTGAATTTTTAAAGTTAAAGTTGCTTAACACTATATTTAAAAAGGTATTGGAGGTATCTAATTGCACCTGAAGGTTCCAATGTTCCCTAGGTACCTTTATCAAATTCTGACACTACTAAAAAAACAAAGACGGCGGAAAGGTGG